ATTATTGACATATTAATAAGATTAATCAAACTGAATTAGGTGGAATGGAATTGGATTCTGTAATTTTATAATTAAAATTTAAGTACTTTTATCACTGATTATAATGAAAACGATTTTCTAGGCAAATTGTAAAAAATTATTGTATTTGTAGGTTTTTACTTGTAGTAAATTAATCTAAGTTGTGGACTGAATGAAAAACAGGGAATGCATAATAGTTATTTAAATTTAGTATGAGATTATTCAATCTTGCTTACTGAAGAACTCACTAGGAATCATCATGTTATATTGCGCATTGAAATCATAATATTCGATACTAAACTGATGGCTTTAATGGTTGAGAATTTACCTCAAGATGTGAAAGTAATATTTACGGATTTTTGAGAGGTGCTTATGAATGGCTACTTTTGACTAGTCCTATTATAGAACGAAATAGCTGTACAGAGCATTCTATTTTTCAGTGATACTTCAACTGAGATCAATCTATGATGAATACAATCTAAGAGGTAAACTAATATTCACGAAATGTTTAGAAATAAAATCATTGTATTTTTTTAACTTTAGGCTATTTGATCTGTTCTAATATTGAGAAAAACCTTCAGATATGAGGAATCACTGAGATGCGTACGATTTTGAAGATCGCTTTAATTACAGAATAATATCATCTAAGTAATCATCGAGAAATAAGGTAAATTTCAAACACATTAAACATCATTTTACATAATGTTCATATATTCACCTAGAATATGGCTTCAAAGTGATTATTTTATTATTCGCAGGAAAATCCTAAACCTGGAAAGATTACGTTAGTTGTCAATCAATAAACCAATGATGATAATATTGGGTGCGGACCGCACTGTTTCTTGAACTGACTGATGTTTGAAATGTGAAACACTGGAGTTTAATTCAACTGTTCAACTTTATTTTGGCTACACCAAGTTTTAAGAGGTTCAACCCTGCACACAGTAGTAGGTGAATACTTCAAAATAATTGCGAATTAGGTTGAAAAACGTGTAGAATTTCAATATCGCGTAAATTAACTATAAATATTGACTTTCTCAAACATTTGAAGTCAGTCAGCTACAACGTTGGACCAGGCACATATATGCATCGGTTCAAGTTACCACACCAAATTCATAGGAGTAGTTACTTCAATGATAGTGATGTATAAAAGAAAGATTGTGTATAAGGATATAATACAGGAAGAAAGAATTAGTGCGCAGAAGGAAAGGTATAAAGTAATTTTAATCTCACGGTTTAAGGGAAAACAAAGAGTGTACACGCCTATGCCTTTGTGACCGATTCTGAGCCATGTCACCCAGTCTCCAACCACTGGTTACGGTAGTCGCGCGGACCCCAACCAAGTAGTCTGCATCTATCAACATGGCTCAGACCAGAAGTTTATGGCTTTATGGATTGATGCTACGTTTTGATTTGGCCGCCCCTAACATTCTTCCTACCGTCTCCAACACTAATCAGCATCACAAGCCGTGGTAATCGGTGGTCGGGCATGTGTAATACGTGGCCCAACCATCTTAGTTGATGAAGATTTACAATCTCACCAACTGATTTACCAACATTATCCAATATCCTGCGTCTAACCCCATTATTACTTATCCGGTGATCCCAACAGATACTGGCAATATTTCTAAGACATCTCATTATTATTCTCTACCCTTACTAGTCACGTTTCGCAGTCGTAATTTAGAGCAGAACGAACTGCTGTGCATTATACTCGTCATTTAATTGGTAGACGGATATCTCGCTTTCACCATATGTGACGTAAGTTGGCAAAAGCCAAACCAGCTTTTCGAACCCGTGCACAGATTTCGTCAGACACTAATCCATTAGGGCTGATCGAATTTCCAAGATAAGTGAATTTGTCGATGCTTTCGACTACTTTACTCCCTATTCTTAGTTCAGGTGTTGACACAGGCCGGTCCTGAAACATTTAGAGGGGTAAAGCAATCGATAAAAATCTTTTCAATTCTAACATACAAAGTTATTCATTGTTACTCCAAAATGTTTTGAGATGTTTAGAGACTTGTTAAACCTAATTAATGGAGATTGGTTTCTTTAACACCATATTATAGTCACTCAATTTTACACTGATGATCCAGTTTATTTATTTAATAAACTGTTTTCTTACACCTTATTGTATGATCTGATTTAAAAAATATCCCGATTAATAGGGTTCGATCATGCTAATTGTGAGGCAGTTCCCTATCAACGTTATTGAAATGTACTTCGTTTTATTATAAATCCAGTCATATGAAGTTAAACATATAAAGCATTGAATGCCAACTCAGTAGTCATAAAGAACAAGTGCTCCTGTGTTTACCCGAGGTTTTAAGCTCGATCTGTGGTGGAGTCGTGCATATAAACTGTTGTTGAGTCCCGTTTTAGGATCGAATAACTCTGTAGTGCATTCAAATATGCAATGGTTGACTAACTAAGGTCAGTTCATAATGTACATTGTAGCTATGAGTATTTCATCTGTCATTGAAGTGAATACTCAATCCAAGTATTCTTTGCTAACTCTTAATCAGTGAACAATTTTAATTATGTAAAAAACCTAAGGATTGTTTATCAGTGAGACAAAGAAAATAGATTTTTATCTATTTTTAATGTATAAAACTAAAACCGTTGAATCTTTTGAGAACGATGAAAAAATTGTGATATTGAAATATTAGTGGTAAATAACTAGATTCTGTGATACATTCAGGTTACATAGTTTACATCAAAAACTGACACTGTTTAAAGAACCATTAAGATTTTCTAATAATGCATATCCATAACTCGTCAAGTCATTGAACCCGAGGACAATCATGTCATGAAGAAAGAACTCAACCTTCATAACACTACATTGACATCCATTGGTTTAAATTTTTAACTTCAATCGATTCACGTTATTTCTGTGACCATAGAATTCAGTCATGTAACGAACAAGCCAGTCACCCAGCATTAGTATCACATGGTTGGGTAATAGCGCCAACTGACCGAAGTTAAAAATGCAAACCATTTCATGTTAACTCAGTGATCTGAAGGCTAAGAGCCCTAAGAATTAACAATTAGAAAACATTTTATGGATTACTTTCAAATATTTACGTAGGCTAACATTTATAGTAAGTTTGCATGATAAACTGACATATTGAACTATCGAGTATCTGACAAAATTCTACACGTTTTTCAACCTAATTCGCAGTTATTTTGAAGTATTCACCTACTACTGTGTGCAGACTTGAACTTCTTAAATCTTGGTGTAGCCAAAATAGAGTGAATCAGTTGAATTAAACTCCAATGTTTTACATTTTAAACATCAATCAGTTCGTGAAACAATATTCACTGTCGTGGAATCCTGCATTAGGATCAAACTTCTTTCCAATACTTCCCATCTTTCAATGTTTGTTTAAAACATATCAATTTATGATGTAAAATTTGAAATCAAGTAATCTCCACAAACCTTAACCCTCAAAATATTCTAGTTCCTTACTTCCTTGAATCCGTTGTAGAATATTAACTTCGAATTCTGATTTTATTATTATGAAGAAAAACAAACTATTTTGCCAATCATTTATTAGTTGTATGGATTGAACTGTTGAATGTTATTGTTTAGTGATTGAAATTCAATTGAATATCGATTGCATCATCATTTCTAATTACGTAACAATAACCTGTTTTTTTTAAACTACACATTATATTGAAACATTGTTGACTTTCCTTTCACTGCTTACTACAACACGTAAAATTACTTTCTAATTCAACATTAAAGCTAATAATCATTGATTAGTGTAAGAATTTTTGTTACCCCCAATATTCAATAATGAGTAACATCTAATTAATCGAGTTTTCTTTTTTTTACCATCATAAACAACAAAAGAAATTCACCATCATTATTATTCTTCGATTTATGAAACATACTACTCAGTGTAACATCAAATACTACTTTGTAATTACTGAAATAAACAATAATTATCGTTTATTTAATGTGATATTCATCAATTGGGAAAATATTTCACTTAAACGAATGAGATGAATAGTTATTGAAAAACATGGTTAGATTGCTTCTCATTATTGATCGATATTCTTAATTTTCCAGGTATTTCAATGTTATTTTACCAATTTAACTTTCATATATTTAGAATGAATAAACTTAATTCAGATTATAAATGATTTGGTTAAGCATTTGATAGTGTATAACTTCAACAAATGATGACATCATACGGTACTATTTTCTATCATTTGTAATGTATCCAGAAAGTACTTTTAAAGTTCTATTTCAACTGTGATATTTCAATTATTAAATTCAAGCTTTGTGTAATAATAAACAAAAGAATAAATGGTGGTTAGACGCGCGTCTCGTCCTAACTGAGACTCATCAGCTGTATATATCTGCATCCCAGAGTTGATTTCCACTCCGGCACTCGAATCCAGCATGGTTAGCTTGAAACGTCATCGCGTTATCCACTTAGCTACTGAATACTGATAGCCACTTGTTTGTGCAGTGAGGTGAAGTTTACATTCATTTTGTGTTGTTTGTTTGAATTTTCCGATTGATGTTTAGGACTCCAATTGATCAGTCCCTTATGGGCATATGTGCTTACTGTACATATTGCCTTAGTAGTGGCTATCAGGACTCAGTAGGTAAGTGGATAATGTGATGGCGATCGAAGCGAAAGGTATTGGGTTCGAGTCCCAGAGTGAACATCAACTGTAAGTTGCAGGTACATCCAGCTGACCAGTCTCAAGTAGGACAAAACGCGCGTCTTGAATTCCACTGCTAGCCATCATGCATCCGTGGTTAGAATACTTATGACTTAAGGCAATATCGAGTCAATCCGTACAGGATGCACGTATACCAATAAAGGACTGATCAACTACAGTCCTAAATATCAATGAGAAAATTCAAATAAACAATACAAAATGAATTTGGGTAATGATGTTTTGTGAGAGTAGTCCAATGGATTATCATAAATTATAAAATGAAATATTTAATTATTCACCTCGACATGAAGAGTAACTCGGCTTATATAAGTTGGATCAATTTCTTCGGCTACTTTTAATGTAAATATATTTGGATTGGGCAGTTTCACTGGCGGTTGGTCTGAAAAACGTAAAAAATAGAAAAAAGTTTTGAAGCTTGTTTTCATCGAAGCTAAAATATTTTTGTATTATACAATAAAAATGTGAAAATCATACATTAAGTAAATCATTTGCACATCTTCTTTGCATTATTTCTTACAAACTTCAATTGTCCTTTATATGCTTTAATATTCGTCCCATTCTGTTTTTATTACAATTACTCTTTGTTCTTCTACATATTCTGTTCAATTCAGTCCACTTCTGCCAGGCATTCCATTTCCGATTGCGGCTACATACTTCTTATATCCGTCAGTATAAATACCATACACTACTCTAAAACGTATGAAGTTACATTTACCTTCTACATATGTTATGCATTAAATGAACACTGATGTGATCATTTGTTAGAAATTCGGTAAAATTGGTTACCTATTACTTATCAGAAATGATTGAAGATTGATATTGATTAAATGAAAGGCAGAATATAAAATTGAAGATGATGATTTCACTATGCATTAATAAATAAATCCATAATTAATTCAACCATTATTAATAAATAATGTCTTATTTATTTTTCATCTAATACGTAGTCACATTTCAATACATTGAACATGAACTGTGCTTGGTAGGAAATAATCAACAATGTTATAGATTTTAATAGTTGACATCATGAATCAATTGAAGCTAGGCCAACATGGAAGCAGTGATCAGTGAAGTTCAACCGGGTCTGTTGTGAGATATTAACTCCCTGATGAAAATGATGGATGTGTCACTCAGTTTCGTGGATTAGTTGAAGTCAGACATAGCACCATCGGATGCCTGTCGGCTCAGTGGTCTAGAGGTTGGGCGTTTGTGCGCCATACCGATAGGTCCTGGGTTCGAATCTCGCGAGGCGAGGTCGTGGATGCACACTTCCGACGATTCTCACGATAGAACGAAACGACTATCCAGTACTTCTAGGTTTCCTATGGCTGTCTAGTTTCAATTGACTCATGATCTCAACTATTAAAAGTACTATAATATCCACAAAACCCCTTCGGATACTAATGTTATGGATGTTTACATTTAACAATATTATTAGGTTAAACCACATTAAATATTGTCCTCTTCTTAATGATACTATATTATAAATGTATATAGTTTATATTGAATCGATAAACTAGTGAATAAGCACAATTCAATGAATATGTGTATTGAACTGCTACAGTTATATACAAAATAACGATGATATCCAACGTCATGGATAAAAATCAGATTATAGAATGATTTCTATATCTTCAATGAAGAAAGATACAACGAACTGATCAGTTGAAATCAACTAAGTAATATTTTATTCCAATTGATCGTTTATGAAATAACAGAATTACAGGTCAACTATTTCATTATATTTACATAATGTAATCAGAACTGTGATTTATGTAATAATATAATCCAGTCACTATACCATGATTATTATAAGGAGCTTGTTTACATCATGGATTGATGTTAATTAGACAATTATTTAAAAAAACTCAGATGCTCTGGATATGTTTCGCTCTAGTAAAGAATTTTACTGAAAAACTATGAGGCAGTTGCCTACTTATGACATTGAAAGGTAGTTGTGTAAAATTGCGAATTGACTTGAATTTATATTTGTAAATTAGTGATTCTAAGGTTACAGTTTAATTGAGAGATCTAAAGGTTTTGATTTAGATCCTTGATGGAGTCGTAGATGTGAACTGTTGAGGAGTCTAATTCTACGATAACACACCTAACCAGTACTTCCTGCTTTTGATTGGTAGTTTAACTAAGAAAAGTTCCTAATACACATTAAACTATAACTATGAATAGTTTATCAGACAACAAATGAAGTGTCCCTTCTACCTAACAAATCAATTAGGAACTGCGAAAATTCAATTCAGATTTCTCTATGTTGCATAAACAATTAAATATTCAATGTAAATCTTGATACACAACGGCATTATACACAAATATCACTTTTTCATATGAAGTGTAAATTATTTGTCGTATTTGCGTAGAGTACTGAAAACCCTATCTTTCTCAACGCTATGTATTTATCTTTCTTCTTTAAGAAAATCTGTAATATCTATAATTTGGTCTAATTTGTCAAGGTTGCATCATAGGTTAGAACTATGATATTTAAACTATACTTCAATAAATTACTCTCTTGAACGGTATATAAATATACATATTGTGAGTTGCCATTATGGCTCTCTAGTTGAATTACTTAATTTTCAACCAATAGGTAAAGACATTGAACCTTGATCCCCTTTCGTCTCTTCGATAATCCAGTTAGAATGAGTGGTACATATACAACTGAAATAACAATCGATGTCATACACTCTTAGTACAATTTGTTATATGTCGAAAAATGTCTAAAAAGAAGGAAAATCTTTTTTTATTCGTTGTGAAATCTTCATCTTTGAAAAGAATAAGTTGAGTTGATTTAATACTGTAACATTGTAGATTAGTATAGGGTATATCCTATTCTAATAGTGAAATTATATAAGCTTTAAAGGTTTGACCATCATTTTTACTGAACATATCTTTTAAACTTTCCTTGTAGATAGTTTATTTATTTATTTAAACACATAGGCATTAGTACTGGGAGGCACCAGATATATATAGATATGTGCCATATTTCGACATTCGATTTGTGTGAGGTCTGGAATACTGTCCGAGCGCTAAAACCGAAGCACATGGTTTTATTAGGAGGCCACTATACTAGCCTTTGACCGATGAATGGATGTTACCAAATGTTGTGCACTCACCAATTATAGGAATGACGATAAAGATGAGTTATATGAGAAGCTGCAATCGATCATAGCGAAGTGCTCAGGAAAAAAGCTGACAAACCTGTTGGGAGGTATAAAGGCCAAAATCGGAATGGACAACAACGTTTATAGAGATATCATGGAACGACATGGACTAGGAGAAAGGGCGAGACTATAATTTGTGGACGAAACAATCACGTATAATATAACAGGTCTCGGATTTCAGCTCGAAATTCATTCATACATTCAAATAAATAGTTTTGGCATTATAGCTGATGTCAGTTCGTTATCAAAACCCTAAATCTAATTTCTAACCTTAATCATCAACTGTAAATCAAAATCTCAATTGCCCACATTGATTTATAACCCTCATTTGCTCCTCCTTATTAGGTAGACACTCTCAAGTTCACTTTAGCACTGCTCATATGTGGTCCATAAATTATAGACTCACCGGAGAAAGAAATGAGAAAGGGTAGAGATTTGAAAATCTATGTGCATTCAAAAATTGGTTATAGGCGGCACAATAGTCCCACAAAAACACAAACACAAAGTAACACGTGTCCCAACGGACCACACCACGAAGAACTAGGTAGATCGAATTTGCATAGGTAAAAAATCAGAAGGTAAGTGGTAAACGTGAGAACCAGGAAAGGAGCTGACATAGTTTCTGATCACCAACAACTGGTTGTGGCCAAGATAAAACTGGAACTAGAGAAGTATTGGGCAACTGAACAAACAGGATTACAAAGGTTCAATACAGCCTTCATTCGGCATACTGGTAAACTCAACGAATTCAAGGTAACTCTCGACAACAGGTTCCAAGCCTTACAGGATCTACTCAGCGAAGAGGAATCTACTATGGAGGACAACTGGAAAGGTATGAAAGAAGCACCAACTTCAACATGTCAGGAGGTTCTGGGTTGCAATAAGCATCATCATAATCAATGGATATCTGTCGGAACCCTGGACAAGATTGAAGAAAAGAAGAACAAGAAGACAGCAATTAACAACAGCCGAACAAGAGCAGAGAAAGTCGAGACACGAGCTGAATACACAGAAGCAAACAAGCAAATGAAGAAGAGCATTAAAGCCGACAAGCAGGAATATGTGGAAGAGCTAGCAACGACAGCTGAACAATCTGCAAGAGAAGGAAATATGAAGCAACTATATGACACGACGAAGTAATTGACAGGTAAATACAGTAGATCAGAGATGCCGATCAAGGACAAAGAAGGTAAGCTAATCAGTGAAATTCGAGGACAGAGGAACATATGGGTGGAACAGTGTGAGGAACTCTTGAATTGACCAGCTCCATTGAATCCATGGGGTGTCGAAACAGCACACCCAGATGTTGCTATAGATCTCACTCCACCAACGACGGAAGAAGTCAGGATGGCCATCAGACAAATGAAGAGTGGGAAAGCAGCAGGACTTGACAATATACCAGCCGATGCACTAAAGTGAGACTTAGAAGTAATGGTAAAAATACTCCAGCTTTTATTCAGGTAGATTTGGTAGGAAGAACAAGTGTTGATGGAGTGAAAATAAGGATATCTGATCAAGATACCAAAGAGAGGAGATCTGAGCAAATGTAAGAACGATAGAGGCATCACACCGCCGTCAGCACCAGGAAAGTTTTTCAACAGTGTTGCTGAACTGAATGAAAGACTCAGTAAAGGCTCAACTTCGAGATCAACAAGCTGGATTCCGTAAGGATCAGTCGTGCACAAACCAAATCGTGACACTACGGGTCATCTTTGAACAATCATCTGAATGAACCTCGTCACTATACATTAAGTTGATTGACTATGAGAAAGCATTTGACAGTGTGGATAGGAAACATTATGGGAATTTTTTCGACACTATAAAGTACTTGAGAAAACCGTCAACATTATACGGAATTCATACGACGTACTATACTGCAGAGTGGTGCACGGAGGACAACTGACAGACGCATTCCAAGTAAGGACTGAAGTCACACAAGGCTGACTACCTGTCTTTTCTCTTTCTTCTAGTGGTTGACTGGAATATGGAATCTTCGAGATCTGGCAGAAAACACGGAATACAATTTACAGCTCAGAACTAATTAGACGATTTAGACTTCACAGATTGCAGGACAGCATTCCTACAGTTGAAGAATATACGGAACTCAAAACAACTGTCAACCAATATCAAATTCACAATCTTTAATACTTACGTCAAGATAGTTAGTTCTACTGTACGGAGCTGAAACTTTGAAAACTACTAT